TTACATTTTACAATTTATTCATTCTACTGTTTATAGACATTTGGGTTGTTTTCAGTTTTGAACTATTATAAAGGTGACGTAAATGTTCTTGTTCATGTCTTTTTGTGAACACGTTTTCATTTCTTCATTTCATTCATTCATAATTACCTATGAGTGAAATATATTTAACTTGATGAGAAACTAATAGTTTTCCAATGTGTTTGTATCATTTCATACTCCTACCAGCAATATACAAAAGCTCCAGTTGGGTAGAGTTAGTGGGTTTGTTTTGTAAGCCATTCTAATAGATGTGCTTTAATTTGTGGTTCCGTGACAACTAATGATGTTAAGCATCATTTTACCATGTGCTTATTGTTCATTTGTATAACTAATTTTGTCTAATGTCTGCTCAAGTCTTTTGCTCATTTTAAAAATTGGGTTGTTTGCTTTTTTACTAATTGTCCTTTGTGAAATATATGTTGAGAGTATTTTTTTTTCCAGTTTGTGGTTCATCTATTCATTTTCTCAATGATATCTCTTACAGACAGTAATTTCTTATTCTGATGAAATTCAATGTATCCTTTTTAAATTTTAGGAAGTGGTAGGCAGAAAAGCCCCCTCCCTGACAAAAAGTATTTATGTCCTAATCCTCAGAAACTAGGAATAGATTACATGACATGACAAAAGGGACTTTACAGATGTGATTAAGGGATCTTCAGATATATTATGCAGATGGGCTAAATCTATCCACAGGAGCCCTTAAAGGTAGAAGAGGAAGGTCTTAGGGTGAATCATAAAGATGTAACAGTGGAAGAAGAGGCAGGAGAGATTCAAAGCATGGAAGGCACTAGACCTGCCACTGCCAGCTTTGAAAATGGAGGAAGAGGACTGTAAGCCCACAAGAGAAATGTGAGTGGCCTCTATGAGCTGGGAACATGCCCTGACAGCTAGACAAAAAATGGCCTCCTAAAATTTAAAACCACTAGCAACTGAATTCTGCCAACAATGTGAATGGGCAAGGAAACAGATTTTCCCCCAGAGGCCTTCTAATAAATCCAGCTCTGCTGACTGATTTTGGTGTTGTGAGACTCTAAGCAAAGACTCAGTGAACACACTGGATTTCCAACCTAAGGGAACTGTAAGATAATATATTTGTATTGCTTTAACATGCTAAATTTGTGGTAATTTGTCATGGCAGCAGTAACAAACTAAATAAAGGTGCTTTTTGTGCTCTGTCCAAATATTTGCCTACCCTGAGTTTGAAAGTTCTCCTATTTTTCTTCAAGGTTTTATTAATATTTTAAGTTCTCTTTCGTTTCTTCTATTATGTCTGCCTCGACAGGAATCTCCTAATTTGACTGGACTACTTGCTGTCTCTCCTTTAAGTTACAAAGTGCCCTTATATGACCTGTGGCTTCTCTCTACCTGCCCTTTAATCAGGTGTGAGTTTTCTTGACACCTATGCAAGGTGGGAATATCAAGTCTTGTAGGCAGTAGTGATGGCAGACTGACCATAGCAGGTATAGCAGGTGGCCAAAGGCTGAGCAGACTGAGATTACTTTAAGGGATAATGGTCCCATGGTCACCTTCGGAACATGCCTTTGTACAAGGGATATTCTATCCTGGCCTCCTCCCCCGACCCAGCCTATCTAAATTCAACCAGAGTTTGATTCCTGGCTCAAGTTCCATAGCTTCCATGAATTTTTCTCTGAGCAGCCTACAGGCTCACTTACGTCCCTCATTTGTCATATTTCCATAGAAACCACACATCTCTGATATGTATGCCTTGTCTCTCCAATCTGATCATCTGTAATCCCAAGTGAATAAACGCTAAATAAATGCTGTTGAGCTAAACTGGTAAAACATTTCAAATGCATACATTTGATTCAACAATGCTATATTCAGGAGTATATCCTAAGGAAATAATAAGCAAAATGTATGAAAGATCTATGTATAAATATGTTCACTGTGATGGTGTTTATAGTGGCAAATTGGGAAGAACCTGAATGTCCAACAGTAGGAGACCGGCTAAAATAAGTATGGCACAGCTCTGTAAGAGACTCAACGAAGGCATTTAAAATGATGAAGCAAATCTAATATATATGAAAACAAAAAGATATTTTGCTACATGAAAAAAAGAGTATCAAGAATACTAGGATGACATGTCTGGAAATAATTCCATCACTTCCACAACCAAAAATCATTAAAAATCTCCACACAGTACTCTGTAAGGGTCAAATATGTGTATTTGGAAGGATATATACTAAAGTGCTAACTGACTACCTCTTGCAAAGTTTTCTTTTCCTTCAACATTTTCTGTATTCAAAGTTTTACAATGAACATAAATTTTTTCAATTTTAAACTTTTAAAACTCAACACAGGTGCTCATTCAATAATCCAGCTCCTGCTCCTCATTTTTAAAAACTGTGGTAAAATTCCCTTTACATAAAATTCATCATCACCTCTTAAAGCAGTTTCTTCTTCCATGTGCCTAACTAACATGACTATATTACTATTCTTCATTCGCCAGATTCAGAAATGTCCTGATTTCTGTTACAGGGGATAAAGATTTTTAACTCAATTATATCAACTCTCATCTTCTCTCGACATGCCATTATTTTAGCTCAATTTTTGTTAAATCCATGTTGTCATGATGAAAGTTAAGCACATACTAGTCATTAAGAACCATGTGGGATTCCTTCCACTTCTCTCTTGTGATGACTTCTTTGCTCAATGTGGTCCCTCTTTAGGATAGGAACACATTCTCTACTAGCTTCTGGAGAAGGAATGCCAGGGAAGTAAATTTTTGCTGTATAATTCTGTACAGCTGAAGCAAGTTTCTTTCTACCCTCATATTTGACTGATAGGTTGGGCAGAGAATTCTGCGTTGAAAGTATAATTAAAGGTGTTGTCTCACTGTCTTCAAGTTTCCAGTGTTACTGAGACATTCCATGCCAGTTCTATTCCTGATCCTTGGGTATGACTTGTTTGGTTTCTTTTCTTTCTTTCTGGAAGTTTTTAGGATCTCCATTTTATTTTCTGTGATCTCAAATTTCACCACGATATGCCTCGTTATGGGTCTCTTTCATCATTATGCTGGGGCTTGGTAGACATTTTTAACCTAGAGACATATTCTTCAGCTCTCAGAGATTTCTTCTTTCTTTACATTTCCTCCCTTACATTCTCTTCTGTTTTTTTCTTCTAAATATTGAGCCTTCTGGATTTACTCTCAAAGTTTCCATTTCTATTTCTTACCTATTTTCTATTTTGTTTTATTTAACTTTCTGGAAGAATTCCTTGACTAACTTCCAAATTTTATAAAATTTTAAAAATTTTATCCATCATATTTTAAATTTCTAGGATTGTTCTTGTTCTTCAACTGTTCTTTTTCTCTTTATAGTGTCCTGGTTTTGTTTTACAGATTTACTATCTTTTCTTGAGTATATAAATTATAATTTCTTTTTTTTCTTTTCTTTGAGACAGAGTCTTGCTCTGTCCCTAGGCTGGAGGGCAATGGCGTGATCTCAGCTCACTGCAACCTCCGCCTCCCAGGCTCAAACGATTCTCCCACCTCAACCTCCAGAGTAGCTGGGATTATGGTACCCTCCATCATGCCCAGCTAATTTTTATATTTTTGAAGAGATAGACTTCCACCATGTTGGCCAGGCTGGTCTTGAACTCCTGACCTCAGGTGATCCACCCACCTACCTTGGCCTCCCAAATTGCTGGGATTACAGACATGAGCCACCACGCCCAGACAATACAAATTATAATTTCTTTAAAACTTTCTGCAATGTCTCTGTTTCTTCCAAATTCTATTTTTTGTTTATCATTATTATTTAGAGAGAGGGTATCCCTCTGTGGACCAGTCATAACTCACTGCAATGTCAAACTCCTAGGCTCAAGGGCTTCTTCGACCTCAGCCTCCTCAGTGGCTGGGAATACAGGCATGTGCCACCACAGTCAGGTAAGTGTTTTTTTTTTTTTTCTTTTTTAGAAACAAGGTCTTGCTACATTGCCCAGGCTGACCTCAAACTCCTGGCCTCAAGCAATCCTCCTACCTTAGCCTCTCAAAGTGCTAGAATTACAGGCACAAGCCACTATACCCGGCCAGTAGTATATTTACAGTTTTGTGGGTTTTGCAGTTTGTCCAAGTCTTTTGGAGTTGGGGATACTTAACCACTTTGATCTTGTCTCTCAAACAAGCAGCAGCATCCTCATGTAGCACAGGAGGAAACTGGTCCAGCAAAGTTGAGTGGCAGGCTCAAGGCCATATGGTTAGCCTGGCATGGTCAGGGCTGCAATCCAGGTCATCTGACTCCCCAGGAGGTGCCTCTTTTATGTCACACCACCTCCTGGACACTGGTGTCAGGCCAACTAATGTTGACCACTACCACGGAATGGGAAAAGGGGAGAGGAGAGCTGGGTAGCACTGGGCTCTGATGGAGAGGTGTCTCAGGCCTCCTGAAGCACAGTGATGCCATGCATCGCTGACCCCAGACTCTGCAAATTCTGATCCATTTTTTAGTATATTCTCATCTGATACTGAGAGAGAGAGAGCACGCAGGTGCCACTGTTGCCTTTTATACAATAGGGAACCGAGGGCTAAAGAGTGAAAACCATACAAGGCCTTGTAGCCAGAGGCAACAACGCTGAACCCTAAGCCCAGTTTTCCCAACTCTTCCTTCCCTTTCTCCTACTGGGGTGTGAGAAGGTGGTGGGGGGCTCTGTTGGCAGTTTTCTAAGTGGGCTCACCTCCCTGTCATCAGCCACTTGTGGAAAGCATACCCCCAGAGGGTGGGCCCCATGCTGAGGGCCCATGGGCACACAGCCTCCAAGGTGCCTTCTCACCCACAGAAGTTTGCAGCTGCTAGGGCCCCGTCTTCTCAGAAACACTGCAGCAGTGGTGGTGGCAGCAGCAAGCTTTCTGAGACAAGCCCACGCACGGATGGTAGTGTTTTTGTTTTCATTTTTAAGTAAAATATTTTTTTAAACAAAAAAAATAATAAAAAGATACCTACCTAAGCTAAATTCTAAAATGGGCTCATCTGGGTCTTGTATATTTCCTAAATAGAAAAGAAATGACAGAAAAATCACCCTTAATAAACTTTTCCGTTTTCAGACTTAATGCACAAATAACCCTCTACTTCCCCCCAACAACAACAACAAAAACTGTCATGCAAGACAATTTCTTCATTTTAAAAATATTTTGGTTTTGAGATTGCTATGAAGTCTCTGACCTCACAACCAAACCCCTGTTCCTCCTTGGGTCTACACATTGACAACAGGGAGGCCTTTTACCATGACCTGGGCATTTGCTAGCCATACACTTGGACGTTCCCACACTACCCTGGTGGTGCCCCCTTCCCCCTGCAAACTGGAAAACTAACATAGTCAAGCTCCAGCAAAAGCAGTTCACAGGAAGAGGGCTGACGACCCCTTTCCTATTTACTGGTTCAGCCAGAAGGATGCTAAAGTAGGGTACCCTGTAGTCTAGGGTAGTCATGGGGACTTATCAGGTACCTCCCAGCACTGCCACAGTGTGAAGCCATGCTCTGTGAGCTCATACCTAGAGCCCGGTACAGGCCCTGTGAGGCTCACCTGCCAGAGAGAGGCCCAGCATGTCGGCCGCCACGTCGATGGTAGAAGCCCGCTGCATTGCACGGGCCCTGGCACCATGGCGAGGGCTGTGCTCTCTTGCTGTCATGATGTCATTGGTGATGATGTGCTTCTTGATCCTGGGTCAGACCACGCCTGATAACCCGGGAAGTGTTGGCCCTGAGCCCTAGTCCACTAAAGTGGCAGTAACCCTGAGAAATAGGAGTAAACACTGGTAAGAAATCATGGGGATGGTGATGGAGAGGCATCATGTTCTCATTTAGAAAGAATGTGACCTAATGCAGGAAAGGTACAATAACCAGGGTTCCCCAGAATGTGAGGAACCAGGGTGAACAGTCTGCTGCTCCCTGCCCCTTTTGGTCACTTCTTCCTCCTTACTCCCCAACACAGAGGATCCATGGGATCCCCTGAGGATGTCCTGTCCTATTCAATGGAGATGTGCCACAGTGAATGATGGTTTTCACATAATCATAAAAGATGGCTTTCGAGATTTTCTTTATTATGTTCTTCTGTTGGCAAGCCTCATAGAACCTTTAAAAATTTAAATCAATTCACCACAATCTCTGTGAGAAGGGTAAGAGCTGCAGAAGAGTCTGCTGCTCACGGGCTACATCCAGGTGGCAAAACACTAGTGAGACAAAGCTCACAGCTTTAACCTGCTGGCTTTCTTCCCAGAGCTGCATAAACTTCACGTATGTCTGGATCTCAGGCTTTCCTTCCCGCAAAGCATGTAATCTAGGCCTAAGCAAAGTGGAGGGTGCTGTGCTGCGGAGGTGGAGGGCTTAAGTAAAACACCGCCACAGGCTGAGTCAGACACTTCACACGGCTCAGAGCTCCAGAACCCACACTCTGCTCTCAGAACTAGGTTAAGCAGCGAGAAGGGAGTTTTAGGTTTTTCCCACTCTATGTGCTACAACTCCTGCTGTCTCTAGAAAGAACCAACTTTTAGAAGATAATTAGACTGACTATAAGCCTATTTTAAAACACTTTCTCAGAGGTCTTCACATTTCCAGAGACAGCCCTGTCTTCCCAAAGGGTATCCACACCTTGTGCCTGAAGGACCTGGGCTCCTGTCCTTGGGTTAATTCACCAAACAACTTACTGGACATGTTTGTTCTCGGACCATGTGGCATTTCTTCATAGAAGCACATCCAAATCCATCATCTAAAAATAAGAAAGCAAAAACTTAACAGGCTGGTCAAACATGAAGTTCCTGAGAATGCAATGCCTAGAAATGTAGAGAGGCCAAGAGCTACTCCATGTTAGTTTGAGCTCCATACCCCAATCTAACCTTCTGACTCAAAAATACAAGTTTTGCTCAAACCCAAAAATATAAGAAAGAGAAAGCACATATTCTTCTATGCAGGGCTGATCTGTTAAGGGAGTCTAGGCCTGTCCTAAAGAGCCAAGTAGGCAGCTGAGTGTGGTTTAGGGACATGAGGAGACAAGAATCTAGGCCCAGTTTCCCCACTCACAAACTGCAGGCCCTGGGAGAAGCTGCAGGGCACTCTAAGGCCCTACCCTTCAGGATGGATGGACTGCACCCATCTAATGGGGCTATAATGAAAACCAAATGTGCATGAAGAGGAGAGTGTTCTGCAGACTCCACTAGACTCCCACACTGCTGCTGCTGCTGCTGGGGCCCCAGGCCCCACTTAGTCCCAGCACCAAGGGGGCTGTTGGGCAGCCCTCAGGGCTCAGCTCAGGAGCTAACCCTCTTAAAGCGCCAGGGTCAGGGAATCAGATGACAGCAAGAGCAGAGTGCGTGGCCCAGGGCAGACTCAGTTTCTCTTGCAGGCTGTGCTCCTATCCCTTTCACTAGGAGTGCCCAGGGATCTTCAGCCTGGGCATCTCTGTAGACAGGGCAGTGGCCTGGTGGGGGAGCAACAAAATAAAAATCACCAAGGGGAAGATTCACTGGTTAGCATCAAAAGGCACACAAGTGAAACAATATGCGAAGCGACTGGTAAAACAGGAAAGTGCTTAAAGTACTAGTATCTGTGTTTTACAGTAATGCTTGTACACATTAACAAAAAACTCACCAAAATGCAAGTGGCAAGAGGTAGGAATTCATAAAAGAGGAACACACATGGTAAACATTTTGAAAAAGTGACCAAACTCACTAAGTAACACAATGCTTAATATACTTTCCTTCACCTGAAAACGTCCTCCAAAAGAGTTTTGTTTGTTCTTGAATGAGAATACACATTGCTGGAGGATCTGGCGGAAGCTGTCTAGGACTCTCCTATACTGCTGATCACATCTTAGAGTAGTTCAAACATTTAGAAAGCAATCTGGCATTGATTATCAAAATTTGTAAATAATAACAAAACTCTTGCCAGTAGTCTAGAACATGGAAAAGACTACTGGGTAAAAATGCTTATTGTAGCATTACTTACAATAATAAAGCAAACCAAATGCCCAGCTATAGGTAAGAAAAGAAATGTTCTCAAATATCCATAAGACACACTATTATCCAGCTATCAAAATGATCATAATAAAGCCAACAGACACCTGAGAAGTTCTTCAATCCCATTAGTCATCAGGGAAATGCAAACTGAAGCCGTGAGATAACTCTGCACAACTACTAGAACAGCAAAAATGACAAAGACAGACAATATCAAGTGCTGCTAGGAATGTGCAGTCAATGGAAGTGACACCCTACTGGTAGAGTGTAAATGGTCAGCCATGCTGGAAAACTGGCCGCCTCTATTTAAGTTGAACGTACACCTACCCTGTGACCTGGCATACAACTCAGAGGGGGAATTGCTAACAGAAACGCCAAGTTATGTTCCCCAAAAGCCTGTAGAGAAGGTTTGGAGCAGTGATGTTCACTGTAGGAAGATACTAGAGACACCCCAAACGTTCATCAACAGTAGAACAGATGAAACAATGGGATAAGTCTCAGAAACAATGTCAAGGGGAAAAGTTAAGATTATTCTAAGCAAATAAATCCATTCATACAAAGCTCAAGCACAGGCCAAATGAATCTGTGGGATTCAGAATATGGAGAGTGGTAGCCTGAAGGGGTAGGTACTGACTAAGGAGGGTGAGGGGTCTTCTGAGGCTCTGGAAATGATGTGGGTATGGACTGCACACAGACTTTACTGTGTGAAATTCACTGAGCTGCACACGTGATTTTTATACTCCCAAACAAGGTGCATACAAAACAACATTGCATAAAAATAGAAGTAAGTTCTGCAACACGTTTTTAAGGAAATAGCCTATCTTTGCTTTATTTGTAGACATTTAAAGAGATACTGTACAGAGAGGACAGCCAGCAGGAGGCTGCATCAAGACAACAGCCATGCTGGGGATGTGATCATGGGGAACTGTCTTGTTCCTTCTCTCATGGCCACCCTCTTGTGTTACTGAAGATTGCACCCCATGCAGGGCAGCACCCTAGGCATAACTTCAGCTTGAAGAAGAGGCTCTTCCCTCTTGAACATTTTTCTCAGTGTGTCTCCAGCATTCCATTGCCTGCCTGGCTGCCCTGCTCAGCCTTTTAGTGAAGGTGTTGGTCACCCCCTTCACTTGTGGCAGTGGAGACAGGCCACCTAACAGAGAGACACATCTGTACCCCAACATTCTGCCAGCCCTGGGGATGCTCCAAAACTCACCCATGCCCACCCCTTTCCACCTCTCCCTGCAGGGTCCCTGCCCACTCCACCTGCCTGATCTGCCCTTAGGAGGGTAGTTTACATCCTAGGCATAGTGAGGTTTCTGGAGATAGAAATGCTTAAAGGGGTACATCTACAGACTAATTTTACACCTGAGACAGTTCACAGGTCACAGAAATTTTAGGTCAAAAAGACCTTAGAAGCACTTCACAGTTATTTGGGGACATTTAATTAGAATCTGCAATTTAACGCATCAAGGCCCAGAACACAAAGCTAATTTGCAGAGCTGAACTCAATTTCTCTTCTTGTTCTCATGAATACGAGGTAATTCACCAAGGATTCTTATATTCCCAAGGGCCTTGTTTTTCCTTCCAGCTCCATTTGACGACCAGAGCTCATCAGGAGGAAAAACAGCACTTAAATAGAAGAGGAGACAGAGTATGTGGGAGTTGTCTAGCAGGTTGGAAATTTTTCTCGGGGTCAAGAAAAAAGAAGCAATAACCCATGAAGCAACCAGGCCCCATTCCTCACTCTGTGCAGTCACATGACCCCTCCAACAAGAGGCAGTGGACCATGAAGTGGACAGCAAATCCCGAGGTTGTACCCCACTGATGTCCCATCCAGCCCTGGGGGCGAGGAACTGGGTGGTGGAGAGGGCACTAGTAGGACAGGAGGGGTGTTAGGATTCACACAGGACTACTGAGGTGACAAGGCCTTCAGCAGCAGTCCTGGGAAAGGTGTGCCAGGGGCCTGGGGGGAGTATCGCAGGTCCCTTCGCCTCAGTAACCTCTCAGACTCCCCTGAGCTGGTGTTGAGGGGCGAGGATTAACACATCAGAGCTCCACTTCTGCTTATCTTATTCACTAGGGTTCTTCTAAGAATAATTTTTAAAAGGAGTTGCACAGATAAGGTCACGGACGCTCAGACAGAGTGATTTTTTTCAAGGTCGCATGGAGGTGAAGGATGAATGAACTATCATTATCAACCCAAAGAAAAAGCCCAAGGGCAATGGGGGTTCGTCTTCCAACCCTACCCACTGAGCCTGTCCTACCCCACTCCAGCCTATTGCTGTCTGTGGTAGCAAATGGACTGAGAAGCTTCACTGTGCCTCTGCTCTCCAAACACAGGCAGCGTAAGAGAGAAAGTAAAATGAAAGGCTGGCATGAAGCTGAGCATGAGTCAGCAGCCCCTAAGAAAGAGGCTACTTTACAGAAGCAGAAAGAGGAAGGACTTAGTCTCAGAAACCCCAAATCCAGGACAGCTAAAATCACAGATCAATGAGATGTCACACCATTCACTGGCACTGAAAGTTACTATTAATAATAACCTGAGAGAGACAAATATCACCTTCCTGCAGACAGACAGGAAGGAATACTGCAAAGGATGCGAATGAACCTCCAGCCAGAAGAGGTGCACAGGGCAAGGCACGTGGGAAAGGGCGTGGAGCTGCCAAGCCTGCCTATGTGCCACTTCCCAGGAACTTCTACATGCTCAGCTATCCAAAAGCTCCCAGAACTCAGTCCTCTGGAGTTTTGTACTTTTTTTAAAAAAAGCTTTTAGAGACAGGGTCTTGCTCTGTCTCCTAGGCTGGAGTGCAACGACCTGATGATGGCTTACTGTAGCCTCAAATTCCTGGGCTCAAGTTATCCACCCACCTCAGCCTCCTGAGTAGCTGAGACTATACATGTGAGCCACCTTACCTGCATAATTATTAATTTTCTTAAATTAGAGATGGGGTGTCGCTATGTTGCCCAGGCAGGTCTCAAACTCCTGACCTCAAGCAATCCTCCCACCTTGACCTCCCAATGTGGTAGGATTATAGGTGTGAGCCATAACACCCAGCCTCCTTTTGGGTCTTTAATGAAAGCTTCATTATGGACATAATTGACTACATCACTAGCCATTGATGTACTGGCTCAACCTTCAGCCTCTCTCAGAGGTGGGAGGGTGGAATACTTAAGTTTCAGCCCTCTAATCATGGGATTATTCTGGCAACCAGCCAAATCCTGAAGCAATCTAGGAGGCCCCAGATACCAGTTATCTCATTTGCATACAAAGACACTCTTATCACTCCAGAGATTCTAAGAATACCTCAGGAAAAGAGGGAGGAAGATCAAATATATATTTCACAATACCACACCCCTCTCTAACTCCAGTTGAAGCTCAGGACACTCCGAACACATCTCCTGAGCCTTCTCCACACCACTATTCCCTGGGGTAGGCTTGGAACTCACCACTCCGGACACTCCATGGTGTGAGATGGCTTTAATGTCAAGATGTTGGGTTAACTGAAGTGACTCTACTAGAGCTGCTAATCCAACCTAGAGAGAAAATGTGACCCAATCGCTACCACAGTGTCCCAGACCAGCCTCTGTTTCTATGGGTCCCCTAGAGCCAGAAGGAAACTGAGTCTACCCAAGGCTCTACTCAGATCTTGTCTATAGCCAGCAGGGGTCCTAGGACCTTTGGGGGTTCAGGGCCACCAATTCTTGAAGCCCAGCAAATAAGAGAATGGCCACCTAGGAGCACTTTCTAGGACATGGA